TTCATACCTTTGCAGAAATTCAGGCACATGATAAATAATCGCATGTATCTTGGGAGTTACTCCGATTTGTAGGTCGTCAAAATCTTTCATAAATTTGTTTATTTGGTCTAAATAACTTTTATTTATTTTTTTACCAAAACACATGTCCACAACCTTTTCCAAACTTGCAAAACATTGAATTTTAGATTCCAGAGTAGAAATGTTTCTTAGGTAGTTAAATCTTTTTAACAATTTTAGACTCTCATTGCCATTAAAACACCACCAGAGCCTTTAGATTTTTTTTGGAGATAGTAAATTATTTCTGAAAAGAGTTAAAAATTGTTGCGACTTTATTTCAATTCACTAGATTGATGCATTATTTTTAGGGTTTCTACCTGCCATAATTCCTCTATATTTAGTAGTTTTGTGGTTTGATAAACTTGTTCTGTTGGCGTGTCTTGTTTCAGTTTATAAAGACCCTTGCGGCCTTGAGTTCACGGTTTATTCACCGTGAATTCACCGTGAATTAACTGTGAATTCACCGTGAATAAACCGTCTGTTTGTGACATTTGTAAACGGTATACCGTTAGACGGTGAATTCACGCACTTTTCACAGTATTTTAATTGTGAATCCACCGTATTTTGGCTATTTTGGCGGTATATTCACGGTGAATTCACAGTGAATTCACGGTGAATAAACCAATAATAATAACACAATCGACTATAGCTAGCCATTATTCGTTACTGAGCAGATGAGGTTGGAGATGTGGATTTCAAACAATTAATGTCAATTTTCAAAGTCAATTTACGGTGTTTTCACAGTAAACTCACAGCGCTTTTACGGTGATTTCACGATAAATTTACGGTACTTTCACAGTGAATTTGCGGTGATTTTGAGTGAGTTCACCGTGAAATCACCGTGAATTAACCGTGAAATCACCGTGAATTTATCGCAAAAACAGCGTGAGTTCACCGTTTAATTACCGTCTACAAATGTCACAAATGGACGGTATATTCACTGCACATAAACGGTGTATTCACGGTGAATTCACGCAAACGGTGATTTCACGGTGAATTCTCCGTAAACTCAAGGCCGCAAGGGGAGCCTTTATTACTTTATTTTGCGCCCTCTGCAGGTTTCCTAAGCAAGACTTGTCGCCTGTTGCCCAAAATGTTATGAGGTAAGTTAGTCTTGACTTTATGTATTCATGATAAACTGTGCTTTTTTGTTGTTTAGGTAATATATTGTTTAATTTGTAGGATAAGCATATGAACGAGGCTAACGTGGTGGTTAGTTTCTGTATGTGGTCCTTCCAGGTGAGACGACTATCTATTATTAGTCCTATGTATTTTATTTGCTGCACTTCTTTTAAGATTTTGCTATTTAGCTTTAGTGTGATGTTGTGTGTCTTTTTTCTATATGCATTATGTAGCACTTACTTTCAATAAGTGTTAAAAGGTTGTTTGCCCATTTCTGAAATGTTTGTTCCATATTTTGTTTAGTAGTTTCGTCTTTGTCGTTTATATAAAAAGGTCATCTGCATACATCATGTGCTTTCTATTTAAGTTTAGTTTGTGTATGTAGTTAAGGGGGGGGGGTAAGGTCAAATCATACGAAAAAAGCCATGTTTTCGTGATTTTTTTTCTGACGACGCAGTTAAAATTTCTTTACTCAACCAATGGTACATTGAAGTATGACATTCGAAGAATGTTTCAACAAATTTGTACAAAGAAATATTAAAAAATACGGCAATGGCAGCAATTGTTCGGACGTGTCTCGAAAAAAAGTTGAATTGCGGTGCCCCTCATAACTTGGTGCTGGATCATCTGAAATCAAAAAATCAAAGTTCATTCGTTAGATAATAGTTTTCCCCAGGTAACGCTGTCGAGTTTTTTCTTTTTTTCCAATTTTTTTCATTTTTTCGAACACTTTGAAGTGAAAAACACAATTTTGTGGGAAAAAATCGGCTAATTTGTTATTGCGAAATCAAAATTATGAACAAAAAACGAAAAAACTCGACAGCGTTACCTCGTAAATGATGTACAGAAATAGTGTTTAAAACTTTAAAGCGTTTTTCCCACAACTCACGTTTTCAAAGTCGGTGCCCCTGATAACTCCAAAACTACTGCACCGATCCTTTTGAAATTTTAAACACTATTTCTGTACATCATTTACGAGGTAACGCTGTCGAGTTTTTTTGTTCAAAGTTGACTCTTTGGACATTGCTTCGTATCTTCCCTGCTGTTGTGTACATTTTTCTATCCTTAGTATATAAATATAAGCAGGGATAGCGCATTTTTTAGTATACCAGCTTCCTTCAGTTTTCTGTGCAGAGTGTTCAAGTCCACAGTATCAAAGGCCTTTTTGTAGTCAAAAATAAGTCCAGTAACACATTTTCTTTTATCTAGTTGTGCCTGAATATAGTCCAGTAAGTTGATCATGGCTGTTGTTGTCCCTCTTTGTTTTATAAGGCCATGTTGGGATTGTGTAAAGAAATTTGTGTTTTTTATATGGTCGGAGAGTCTGTTGTATATAACTTTTTCAAATACTTTGTTTAGTGCAGTTAGGTTTGCTATTGGCCTATAGTTTGTTGGGTCTTGTTTATTTCCACTTTTCCAGATGGGTGTGATTCTTGCTATTTTGAGTCTTCTCGGTAACTGCCGTTATTGATGTGTTTGTTAATAAGTGCTACTACTGTAGGCCCTATTTCACTTACTAGGTTTTTTAGGAGGTGGTTTAATATTGTCATTACCAGGGGATGTGTTGCTTTTCATGTTTTTTATTATGGTTTCTATTTCTTTAAGGTTAATGGGTCTTAGATACATGGACGCTAAAAGTTTTTGTTCTGCTTCATTTCCATGCGCTAGTTTATCTTCACTTATTTGTGACGCAATTTTTTCCCCAATTGTTGCAAAAAAGTTATTTAAGCTGTTTGCAATTTCTTTAGGGTCATTTGTTTTTGTTCATTTTTTCGTGAAGACCTCATTGATTTCCGTTTTGTAGCTGTTCTCAGTATGTTTTGCTTCTTTTATAATTTTCCATATTTTTTTGCCATCTCCATCAGCAGCTTCTATTTTGCATTTGTAAAACTTTCTTTTTCATATTTTACCATGTTTTTGACTCTACTATTTAGGTTTTTGAAATTATTGTTCAGTAAGTTTAATAAAAATTATAGCAAATGTTGGAAATGCCCTCCACCTGCTGCAATACAACCCTCCATTCTTTTTTGTATAGAATGTCGGACACGTTCTAAAATGCCAGGAGTGTTTCTTATATCTTAAGGGATCAATGATGCCTTGACGAAAGACTTGAACCACAGAACTGGCCCCGCAACATAAAAGGATATCCTCATAAAAAAGTCCAATGTGGTGCAATCCGCGGAACGTGGGGGCCAAGCTATTGGACCAGCTCTACCAATCCACCGATTTGGAAAGCTTAATTTAAATGATGGCGTACTATTACACGAAAATGAGGGTGGCACCATCTTGCATGAACCACATGAGTTGACGAATGTTATAAGGCACTTTGGCTAATGAACCGGGCACAACCTAGGTACGTATCATCATTTAAAATTCATAAAAAAAGGACCAATGAGCTTACCTTTGACATTCCTGCCCATACGTTTAAGCTGAACTGATCCTAATGGCGGGATTGTCTTATTTCATGCGGATTTTCTAGTGCCCAAACATGTACATTGTGATAATTCACCACGCCATCACGCGTAAAGAGATTCGTCGGTGAAAAGGATCCGGAAAAAAGTTAGGATTTCTCGCGCACTTTCGGGATATCCACGCGAACTGCAAGCACCGCAAAAAATCATGTGGAAGCAAACCTTGAACACGTTGGACGTGATATGGATATAAGCTATATTCGTGAAAAACTCGCCACACAGTAGACTGAAACACCCATATTTCTGGATATTTGTTTAGTGCTTAAACATTGGTTGCGAATTTCTCGCATGCAATTACAAACATGGAGCCGAAGGTTAGAAAACGTATTCCGTACAATCTTTGAGCTTGGCGTGCGTCAGACCATAATGAAAATTTTTGTCAGCAAAATGCTGAAATGAAAATAGAATATTTTTATTTTTAATGTTACAAATAACAAGAGGATTTACAACTTTCTTGGTCGAAATACTAAAAAGAGACAACCAACAATAAACTAAAGTGTCAACATCTAGATCTAGATCTAGTATTTCAGCCCACTAATTTTTGTTGTTTTGATATTTTGAAAATACTTCCCTTTTGTTGATCAGAATTTTCTTGCAAACGGTTAGTTACAACTAAACAAGTATCAAAAAATGCATAAGACCGATATTTTAGATTTTTTTCATGGCCAATAAGATTACGTTGTTTAAATTTAGAGTTTCTTGTTGTAAAATAAAATTTTGGCCAATAAAAGTGTGTGCCCCCTCCAACTTCCCTAACAGCAAAAAATATCTAGTGCCTAAAAAACGGAGGCAAGCAAATTTATAAAAGATTCGATCCGTCACTGTAGTCACAATTTTAATTTTAAATAATCGATTCTTTTAGCGCAACCTACAATGGCTGTCGCTCGAAAGGAGTGCATTTTTGGACACATGATAATGGGAAAAAAGTATTATTTTGATCCCAGCAATACGCTCTTAAAATATGTACGTTTAATTTTGAATCACCCTGTGAAATATATTATACCAATAATTGTTTATTAAACTTGGTGCAATAGAAATTTTGAGTTAAATAATTAAAATAAATTGTCGACACGCCACGATGGCATAGACGATGCCGTCATTGTTGGTAGGAACCTTTTTAAGTTTCTTTATTAGACTTAAAAGTAAGAATAAGACTTAATATTTATACAAGAACAATTTGGTTTGTTGTGTGATGTGCTTTATGGCGTCGGGAGGATATTGCAAATAAGCCTAACATTATCTACACAATCCGTTGTCTGTGAGACTTTTCTTACTTAATTTAATTATTATACTTATACTTATTTAACTCTCTACTCTACAGTAAAGAATATTTTTTTTTATGGTTCGTACCTCAGATAAATCATAATATTTAAGGTCCTTCAAAGTTCTAATTTGTATTGTTGTACCCTCAAAGATGGCAATGGCATTTGGGGCACAGGAATGATCAAGTACAGAAGCCCCAAGATAAATGCCTGTTCCTAAACTTTGAAACTCTTGATTGCAAATATTAAAACTATTAACACACATCTACAACATTCAATTAAAACAATATAAGTACATTGATATTTAAAAATCATACCCTTCCATATAATCCCATTATTTCAGCAGAATTTGGTACGCGATCATTACCTAAAAATTCTGATAAAACTCCATATAAAGATCCAATATGTTCCATTTTATGTTGGTCGTTTTTAAGAGTGGGATAATCTAAAAATATTATATTATTTTATGTATGTTTAATAGGTACTCAAAACCATTACGAGACATAAGGTCCTTAAACATTCGATATCGTTTTTCAGAATAGTATTCTTTTACTTGGTCACCTCCTTTCTGTAATTTTTTTATAAGCCTAGCCAACACTCTGGCTGCATCTGGGACTAGTCTGGGAGCCACCTTGGCTAAATTTTTACATTCCATTTTATGGATGTCCCATCCCAGTTTTTGACAACCCCTTCCACAATAATAAACACACTTACAGCCTGAGCATTTAGAAAGTTCACTCCTAAAATTTTATAAAAAAAAAGAAAATTTACCTTAAATCGATATCCTTTGGAAAGTAATTTAACTCTTAACATCATATATAAATCAAATATTGTTAAATGTTTTAGAGAATATCATATTCTGAATATGAAACTTGTAAAAGGAAGTCTTTTGTTATTATTCTAGTTAGACAATTTCTTCTATGACATTTTTGACAATATCGTAATTACTTACAATATAATTTATGCTCATGACTACAAAGATTATAATCTTTTTATTCATGACCAAGTTCTATATCGACGATGGTCTGAGAAAAACTGCTAAGTGACATTTTATTAAAAGCTTTTAAAACAGCTTGCTATATTTGGGGCGCCATTTTTTGTAGAGTGATATCACTTATCAGGTTTTGTCAGATCGCCTTTGATATAAAACTTGACCAACAAAAAATATATAATTTATATATTCATAGTAATAAATGACAATCAAAAAGAGCTAAAAGGCAGTTAAAAACTGATATGGAATTTTACCCCTAAAATAACCTAATTAATAACAAGCATATAAAATTAATATAGAATCCTTATAAGAGTAACAAAATACCCATTTCATGTTTTTTTTCTGTAAAAAAACAATTTTATTTATTTATTAAATATAATACTGTATCATAGTTTAACAAAACAGTTTTATAACTGGTACCGTCAAAACCATATTTATAAAAAAATAATAAATTAAAAAATGCCCAAAGAAAGAAGTAGTGAGAGAGAAAAAAATAATATATTTTTCTTGCAAAATTGATATTTTAATGTTTGAACTTTGTAATGTTTAAATATTTCTGGTAGCGAATTTTATAATGCGTGGATGTTATAAGAATATGACCGTCTAAAAATGGCTGTAAGAAGTACGCCAGGCTGAAGATCAAAGAAAGGCAGTTAATATGTTTTCTACGCAATGTTGTATAAACTTTTTTTTTATGCGTTTAATAATTTTGTAAAATTTCTCAAGTTTGCGACATTTTGTCATTAGTAGATCATGTTGACGTATGAAATTATGAATTATGTGCATGAATTTGTTCTACAGTGACCTGCAATGGATGGAACCACTCTTCCTATGTAGTGTTGTAAAAAAAACGTTTTTTTTCAGTTGAAAAAAAACACGTGAAAAAAAACATGTTTTTTTTCACTGAAATAAAACAAAAGTTGTTTTTTTTCATTCTCACCCACGTATGGTAAAAGGGCGCCTCGCTGTCGGCAATGCTGACTTAGCATATCGTATAGTCTATACGGTATTATAATAGAAGAGTTAAGACCTGCGGCTTTATAGGTTGATGCATAGTTGGTAGAAATGCCGAAAAGAAAAGGCTCAGGGCGAAAGCCAACAACGTTAAACAATTTGTTTAAGAATATTACTAATGGTAAGTAAGAAACTATAATTAGTATTTAATAATCTTCTAGTGACAGAATGTGCCAAAAATTCTTTCCTCAGCAGTGACATTTCGAAAATCCTGTCACTTAATATAATTTGAGTATTTTTGACCATTTCTTTGAAAAAAAACATTTTTTTTGAAAAAAAACAAGGACCTCTGTTTTTTTTCAAAAAAAAACATTTTTTTTTGAAAAAAAACAAGAGTGTTTTTTTTCAGTGACAACACTATTCCTATGTAATTTTAATCTATATGCTATAGTCCGAGAGCTAGCGACACTGAAGCCGTGCCGATTCCATTGTGAACGAAAAAATTTCAGAAGGTAGTTGAAATGAAATCGCGTGCCTGCCTACCTGCCTGATCAGTTGCGGTTTTTTTTTTAAATGGTGGCATTTTCAAAACGTATTAATGTTATAATCGCAATGTGGATAAAATTTTTTAAACAGACACACTACTAAATACAAATTCGAGTGCCTGCCAGTCGAAATCGGTTGCAAAATCCTGCCTGTCAATTAAAAATCGGTCTTCAAAGAGTGCATAATTTTCCTAATCGCAATGTTCACAACAAAAATTTACAACATAGTTTAAAGCATTAAATATTCATTTCCGAATGCCTGCCTTGATAGGTAACTAGAATTTTCAGCAGGAGGGGGGCAAAATAATCCGGCATCACCCCTGGATCTCAAGAAAACAAGTAATCGTAAAAAACAAGAGCTAAGCTTCCTAGAACATTCTTTTTAATTAATGATTTTCGACGGATAATTGAATTTGCTAACAATTAAGTAGTGTCCATGTCAATAATATTTTTTTCCAGATATATAAGATCCTGGCGGAAGACGGCGGCGAAAAGCAGATAAGTTTTCTCCATATAAACGACGAAACGAAAAAGAAAAATATTAAACTGCTCACAAAACTGGCAGGAGACAAGAACTCCGGGGTAACAAGGCCTACCCCGGATGACTGAAATCTAGCCTTAAATATAACCAACCCGACAATAAGTTATTAAATAACTAGATGGGCGATAGGGATATTCCACCCATTTAAGTCACCGGATAACTTGATTCTGCATCTATGTAAAATCTTTAGAGCACGCTTAGCAAAGTTTATCTATTTGCGAAAAGTAAGGAAATGAAAGGACCATCATATCCATGCTAGGAGAGGCCACCAGGCAAGAGCAGGAAAAGCCTGTCCACTTTTATAGACATTTCTAGTGGATGATATACTAAACAAGTTCACCCTTGAGGGCTTCCATTGCCTAGGGTACCCTGAAGACATAGAGTTGGTCGCCGAGGGACAAATCGCTAACACAGTGTCGTGGTACCTCTAAACAAAAGTTACCTGTTAATCCTCTTAAAATCCTAATTGCTAACTATACCTACTATTTTATAACAAAACATTAAAATACTCACTCTGCAAAAAGTTGGGGCTGTTTTTGTAAATTTGACCCCTCAAATGTTACGCCTATGATTAAATTTTAACAGTTTTGATTATAGATCCAGATTCAGAATGTCAAAATTACCAAAGTGCCAAAAATTCAGGTCTTCATGTTCAACCCTCTAGGAATAGGGGGCATTTTTTGATATATGTTTATTAAACAAAAAAGTGTTATTTTTCTATAAAGAATGCACTGTTTAAGTTTGGCCCTCTAACTTCGGGACACCCTGTATATAAATATTGTATATTTGTCATATTTTGCCATTACGTATCAATTTGTTGCTGTTGTAAAATACACCTACTGTTTTCCAAATATATTTTTGTTTAGTTTTGTATTTTCTTCTAAGAGCTTGCAATATATTTTTAAATTTTCAGAATAACATTTTTTAAAGCCAATTTTTTTTTTATTAAATACTATACTTAACTATAAAAAAAACTATACTAGGCAGAAGATATGTCGCATTTTAACCAAAATTTACCAAAAATAGTGTTAGGCAACTTTTTTAAGGTATTACATTGCTTTATACAAACTTTTTTATGTTTTTCACTCCATCCTAGTTCACACCCCTAATAACGGCCCTGGATACTAATAATAATAAACAGGGACTAGGAGTTTAAAGTAAAATGCAAATGAGCAATGAGACATATATATTCTTATAGTAAATTAAACGCTCTACCAAAAAGGTCTCTTATAATTTTTCGATTAAATCACTCGTTAAAAAGTTCGAAATTCGAAAAGTCGAGGTGAAAGTTGAACTTTTACGGCAGTTATTATTATTTTTGATGAAAGTTATTAGTTTATTTTTGAAAATAGATAATTCTGGTAGTATTAAGGTAAAAAATTCCAAAAAAAAATTGAAAAATCTGTCAAATGAAATTCTTACCATCTGCAAGATTTATTTTATTAAACATTCTTTAGTTACATTTTGAAATTTTTTTTATACTCGCTAACAATTTGAATCACATATTGTTTTTCATCTTCGTTTCTAGCTAAAATATTAATATATTCTTCGGTCAATTTTACAGCTTTTTCTGCAGTATCATTAACTACTCTTAAATGTTTCACAATCGCTAAGCCTCTTAAATATCCGGGATCCTCCAACCATCTACTGCTGTCTAGCTGAAGAAAGTTTGTATAATAATAATCTCTCGAAAATTTTTATTGAATTAGCATTAATGAAATAGTCTATGTTTTTATTTATATACCATTTAAAATCATCAAAATTACAAGTAAAGCGTTGAGGAGGATCAAATTCATCATCATCACTTAATTTCAAAGCCTCAACCATTTTTTGCTTTACACTAGAGGATACATTTTTGTCAAAGAATGATAAGGCCGCTGCTTCAGGACTCAAATACCATAAATGACTCACAAATTTTTCAAAAACTGTATCAGATAAATTTTTATCGATCGTTCTATATTGGTAAACAGAATTGATAAATTGAAGGTCTTGATTTGGTGCAGCTGCAGCTAAAGGTGCAGAGTACCAAAATCGGATATATACGAAAACGATAAATAATGAAATGTCCTGAAAACTTTTTTCATCTTCTGCACTTAAATTTAAAACTGTCTCGTAAAATATAAATTTTTAAAGAATAAATGGCTTTAAAGCCATCCATCGAGCGTGATGAAATGCCCCCGGTTTATAAAATTTTATTTTCTCAACATCCATTGTGCCTAAAAATATTTTACTTAATTCTAACAATTCTCGATAATCATCACGAGGTAAACTATTATTTAAGAACTCATCAATCTTCGAACTTATTTCCGGTATTTTATCTCTTAACACCTTTTTCAATCTATTTTTTTGAACTACAGATCTATATTTTTTTTTTAATAGAATTCCACTGGCGTTAAATTTTTTTAAATGCCTGGCATTTTCGTGGAGTATACGCAATATAACAATAATTCATATAAATGATGTCTACAAGGAAGGTACAATAACTCGGTCTCAAGTTTACGTTCTAGAAGTAAGGCAGCTCCATTTCTACAGCACAGAATAGAATTAGTGGTGTCACAACAAATCGCTTCGACAGAATCGTTTAGTCCCCATTCGCAAATAGTGTTGTAAATTTCTTCTGCTTGAGTAGAGCCACATCCTTTGGGTAATGCAGGTACTCCAAGAAGTTTTTCTTGTCCATTAAAACTTATTAAAATGGGAAGTCTTTCA